GGGGGGGGGGGACGGACTGCAATGATGAATTGTCAGATTATTTGCTTTCTTTGAATAGCAGTAACCAAGAAATATATTTATTTTTGATATAATTAGTTGAGTGGGTGTTATTTTAAGACAGAAACTACAACTTAGTTTCAGTTTCTAATTTCTTGTCTTAGATATCCTGATTCCCCTCCCATAACAAATGAAATGACATTGCTGGACTCCTGTGAGAAATTTGTGAGTTTGCAAGATTCTGGTTTGAAGCAGCAAAAAACGGCCTCTTCTTTACAGTCCTCTGTACAGACCTCCACTTTGGCATAACATGAACAGCATATAAAAGACAAGAATTTTTTTTAAAAAGATAGAACAGAGCACTTTAAGTAAATCAATGTAAACTTTATAGATAGAAATGCCCTTTAACTGTAAACCAAAGAGGCTAAACTCTTAAAATTACTTGGGGAGACTGTTATGTACATTATCTACCACCTGATTCATTTCAAAATGCTATTGTACTAAAAGTCCAGGGAGGTCAAGAAGAGAAGAAATAGTATAGTGAGGAATAGGAGATGTTTCCTTGGGAACTATTCCAGTTTTATTTATCCAAATGGTTGCCTTTAAACCTGCATTCAACCCTCCTTGGATGTCCGTGTCTAAAGAGTCTCCAATCATCACACAGTCCTCAGCCTGGACTCCTAGAAGTTCACAACAGTGAAGGAAAATGGATGGCGATGGTTTCTCTTCTTTCTGCTCTCCTCCTACAACAATTGCATCAAAAAATTCCTGACAGGCACAGGCTTCGATCTTTTCTCTTTGTGTCTCAGTGTCTCCATTTGTTAGCAGAAGCAAAGGGGCAACTTTTTTGAGGCCCCTGAGGATCTTGCGTGTTTCCTTTGTCAAAGTCAAGTGCTCCAGGCGGGTAGTCTTCCAAAGAAAATAACATTCTCTAGCCAGCTTCTGATTGGCTGTTCCTCCCTTTACTTCTTGTATAGCTCCTTCCCAATGTTGGATCCTTAGATTAGTAATGGATATTTTAGATGGATCAAAGCATTCTTTGGACAGCTTGGCTTGGAACCTTTCACACACCATGTCAGCTTCTCTTTCAGTGTAGTGATACTCATATTGTAAAATTCTGATTACCTATGAAAACAGAGAAATAAAAACAATGTAAGATTGGCTGAAGTTTCCTTCTGATGCCTTCCAGAAGTGCTGGAATCTAACTTCCAGAATTCCTAGCCAACATACATGCATACTGGATAGGAAGTTTGGAAACTGTAATTTAATAAAGTTAGAGCAGTGTTCCCGAGGCTTGACTGTTTCTTACACATGTGGAGTTCGGTTTATAGATTTCCCAGCTAGAAGTTGCTAAGGTTGGGAGGCATTGCTGTAGAGTCAAATGTCAGTGTTCACCATTTTCTCTTTGACAGATTGTTTAGCAATGAATTGTTTTTATTATAGAGTGATGAATAAATTGCAGAAAAAAGAGAGGAAAATAAAATGTTGTGGTTTTGTGTATTTGTATGAATGTACAAGCGTGCCAAACATCCCTGTCCTTCTGTACCCAACTATTTGTATTCGTTTCTTTTGTTCATATCCATGTTTATATTTATACCTGCGCCAAGGTGGCGCAGTGGTTAAATGCAGCACTGCAGGCTGACTGCTAGATCAGCAGTTCAGCGGTTCAAATCTCACCGGCTCAGGGTTG